AAATGGTTGAGCAAGCGAGTGGGTGGTTAAGTGAGGGGTTAAGTGGTTGAGCAAGTTGAGTGGGTGGTTGAGTGAGGGGGGTGGTTAAGTGGAGTGAGGGTTAAGTGGTTGAGCAAGCGAGTGGGTGGTTGAGTGAGGGTTAAGTGGTTGAGCAAGTGAGTGAGGGCCAATGGTTGTGGTTGTGTTTGAGGGTTGGTTGAGCGAGTGAGTGGGTGGTTACGTGAGTGGTTTTGAGGTTGAGTGAATGATGATTGAATGGTTCCATGGTAGTGGAGCTTGATACACAGGACACCAAGAACCAAGTACACACAATGCTTATACCCAACTTAGGGATCAAGCCCAGTTTCTGAGCATGAAGAGTCCAGGCTTTATCTACTGTGCTACCCCACTACCTTCCAAATCAAAGACCGCCTGGTGTAGTGGTTAGAGCGTCCGCCCGGAGAGCAGAAGGTCGCAGGTTCGCAGATCCCTGACCGCGTCATACCAAAAGACGTTAAAATATGGTACTTGTTGGTCCCTGCTCGGCATTAATGGGTACAACAAGGACTGGTCGGCTCGGAGTCAGTATAATGTGTCTGAGTGGGGTATTCATGCTTCACTGCGGCATGGTATATCAGTGGGCTAGCACTATAAAACCAGCTTAAGTCTGGGCTAGTACAAGCAGCCGCACATACACATACACACGCATGCACGTTGTTATATGAGCGAAATATTCTTAAGCACGACGTTAAACCCAATTTCACCTCACCTCACCTCCAAATCAAAGATTGTGCAATCATATTACGATTTCATTGACAATACTCTGACAATTTGTCAAAACATCTCTACGTTATATATCGAGAGTCAAAACAAAATGTCCTGAACTGACACTCCCTTTAAACTGAATGTCTTTTTGTGCCCTTTCATTTTCACCATGTGTCAGCCATGACTGATTTATGTTTGGCCTTTTGCATCGGAATAAATTGGCTTAAAAACTCTATGAAACAAGACATTCAATTATCTTTTTTAAGGAAAAATAAAACCAATTCTTTCACAAATCTTTCAAATTTGCTCAAATTAAAAAACAAAGTGCCAAAGACATTTCCTGTGGCCTTGGATAGTAAACTCTCTTGTGCCAGTTGATCAGACGACATCAGACGACATCGCCAACAATGGATAATGCATTCCAGTAAAATTCTTAAAATTCAGCAATCTTCACATCAGCAGTTTTCCTAGCCATTTATACAGAATATGTCTTCACCAAGACTCAAAATAACACACTAACACTAATCAACAGCCTAAATGAGGGTTTAAAGTCAGAAACGTCATGCCAATGATGTCATATATATTAAACGTTTTGACAATTCACTATTGATTAACAATCACGGTCTGGATGACCATTATTTCATTTCTTTTACAACTAAATACTTGTTATTTTGTTTAGATTTGTTCAAAATTATTATCTGGTAAATCCAAATATCTATGATAACCATTATTTCATATCTTTTATAATAAATACTTGTTATATTTTTAGATTGTTCAAAATTATTCTCTGATAAATTCAAATTTGTAATATCTTTCACAAAGATATAAAATCAAAGACTATATTCAAAACATATTACAAAAGCAATGAGAACACACAGAAGGCACTCTCGGTGAAAACTATTACCGGAATTCAAATACCACAAATACAATGGATGAACTCTACCATTTCAACTCCATGAGGAGAATACCAACTTAGGCAAAACCTTACTTCATCAATCTGTGTAGAATATCGCATATCCCACAGGTAATCCCATGTTGACGTGACTTGCACACGCGGAAGGACCCTCAGTCAAAGGGAGCACTCCATGGACACAATAGTGGCATTTCCGCAGCAAACCAAGAAACTCTATGATCCGACTGTAGAGCCAAACAACTCCACCTGGTGGCAATCAGTGGCACTAGAAGCACATGTTCCTAACCCAGTTCATCCAGACCGTCATTGTTTAAAGATTTCGTTGAGCAAATTCAAAATATTATTGACATGTTGAGTGTTGGCTCACAACTGTCATGAGACCAAGGGCCACTGACTTGAATTTTGATACAAAAACATTTGAAGTTTCCTTTTACGAGTTTCATCATTTCGTTCAAATGCCAACTGCGTAAAGATATCCAGCTTTCAACCACGTCTTGGATTAAAAAAAATCGAAACCAGCAAAACAAGAAATATGTACATTTGTTTAGATCCAATTTCCATATCAGCACAAGCTGAAAAAAAAGAATCTTTATCTGATCCAACACAACTGAGAAAAAAATATGGAAACACCATAGTCTCAATTTCTTTAAAACCATTCATCCACTACGGCTATTTTCGAACAAAATGAAATTCAAATGTTACAAAAGCACTGTGATATAAAAATGTTAGAAAACCACAGAAATAAAACACTCAGAATAATAAACCCCTCCCTTGCCACCCACAAGTGTACAAAAATTGAAAACAACTCTCCTTTCTTCTGCAGTCCCTTGCTCGGATATCAACAGATTGTGGAAAATATAATCCGATATCAAACCATTTTCAGAAATCCTGACAAAAACATCAAAGAGTTGAAAGGAAAAGTCGCGAGACCAATGATTTCCTCCCATGAGGCCAAGGAAACCAAACCCGGTCACCTAGTTTGAAAACCATTCCTCCTCCACTGAGAGCGAAGTAAACTCTATCCCACTCTTTTAGAGTAATGTTTCATGAAAATATGTAATATTAACAGAGTAATCTGGCAGTGAAGAATTGGTTGTTTGTCTCACACTTCCAGCTCCAAATGTAAACTGTCAGGATTTGACACATTTTGAAATGGTGATTAACTAATGGGGAGTGGGCGAGTGAGTTTAGTTTTATACCGCAATATTCCAGCTCTATAGCGGCTGTCTGTAAATAATTGAGTCTGGACTAGACATTCCAGTGATCAACAGCATGAGCATCGATCTGCGTAATTTGGAACCGATGAAATGTGTCAACCAAGTCAGCGAGCCTGACCACCGATCCCGAAAGTCGCCTCTTACAACAAGCATGGGTTACTGAAGCTCAATATTCTTATATATAAACCCAGATCTTCACAGGTCGATTAACTAATGGAGTATATCTGGTTCAACTGCATCCACTGATGACAGACAACCTGATTGGCCAAATATGTTTGTGGCACTGCATTTGGATACCATTAATTTGGAATATTTCTTATAATGCCCCTTCAAATATGAATGATATAAGTATAGGGCTTGTTCTCTAATAATATCAATGATTCAAATTCACCTGACATTAACAAGGATCCCGATCCGTTCCACTAAGCAATCTTAGCATTAAGGTGAGGTGAAATTAGGTTAACGTCGTGGTTGAGAATATTTCGCTCAGATGTGCATGTGCATGCGTGTGTATGTGTAGGTGGGGCTGCTTGTACTAGCCCAGACTGAAGCTTGTTTTATAGTGCTAGCCCACTGAGATACCATGCCGCAGTGAAGCATGAATATCCCACTCAGACACATTATACTGACTCCGAGCCGACCAGTCCTTGTTGTACCAGTAATGCCGAACGCCAGGCAGGGACCAACAAGTACCATATTTTAACGTCTTTTGGTATGACGCGGCCAGGGATCGAACCTGTGACCATCCGCTCTCCGGGCGGACGCTCTAACCACTACACCATGGAGGCGGTCTCTTAGCATTAAGACACTACTGTTATAAAGATATCTTCACATGGTCATAACTCCTATATCTCAACACAGACTTATGACAAAGATAGTGCCAAGACGCTTGTCTTTTGACAGAGGAAATACTGTTTATACATTCGAGGAAGCAGTATTATAGAGTAATATGGAGTACATACTCACTATACCTTTTACTTTTCTTGATCTGTTCCTGGCATAAATTAACTGTTTGAATATCGCTCTTTCAAATGTGTCTCTCAAGGTAATTGTGCCATAAATGCTATCATGTTTAGAACCTCTGCAAAAGTTTAGTATGTCAGACAAACAACCAAACTGATATCTCTGTTTGAGGGCTCTGTATATATGGTAAACAATTTACAGGAGTGTGTATTTGTGCTAAGTTTTATGCACATGAGATAGGTATACCTATGAAAGACTTGAGATAAGATATATGACACTGCTCTGTTCTTGAGACCAGCTATATTATGAAAATAATCTTAGGGGTCATATTTCACTTTTGAAGATTTTTATCTGAACTGTAGATCGATACCAGACGTAATTTCATGTCCTGTTTCAACCAGACACCAACAATATGGATATAGTGGGTATGAATCGCTTGAAATTAATTCAACAATAACATCATATTTTCCCACAGGTTCGCAAGATGTGGACTGAAAATCAGCCATGCACGACAATCAACAACTAACTCAATGTGAATTTGTTCGTTCAAGGGAGATAACTCTTGTAGATTACAAGTTTGAGGTGGCAAAACCCCTTCTGTTGGCCCATGTCACCTTCACACAGTAACCCCGTCCTCCATAAGGCATAAATAGTTATCAATAGCCTAACATGACCACAGTTGCTCAATGGATGTCCACAGTGAAAATTAAAGAATGTGATAATTTTTCAAATGAAGTTAACAAACAAGTATCAAATAGGGGCAAATCAAGGATTCAAACCTGCTATTCACATCCTGTATTGATCCATGGGACACAACTCTGTACAACTAATTGCACAGCCAGGTGACGGTCCCAGCCAACAACAACATCACTAAATGACTAGTTGGGAAACTGAAATATCCTTCAATCTGTCCCACACCTGGCTTTTTATCACAAAAACATGTTTCAGATAAATACTTATTCCAGAAAAACGGAATCATTTACAAACACACAAAACCTAAGTATCAAGGGAAGCAACCATTTTGTTCATTTAGTGAACAACCACTAAAATGTTACATATTTATTCAGCAAAAGTTTTAAGACTGAAGTTGAAGGTTTATGAGTTTAACAATCATTAGTTTATTGGTACAGATGTAGCATGAATAAATATCCAGCTATACTCACAACTTGGGCCTCTTCATTCTGACAGGGTGATAAACGCAGCTGTAGAATCCAGATAAAACCTTTTTAGCAAATATGGTGGGAGTTTGTAGTCTACTCAGTGTCAATGTCTCACTTTGTGCTGATTCAGCATAGATTCCATTTCACACTTTTTCTTGAGTTTGATGATATCAAATCACTTCATGAAATATTCCAGTGTTCCACCCAAAAACACTCCAAGTCCACCTAATCACATCCACAAATCAAAATTATCCAAATGCCAGAAATTGGAAAAACAACTCCTGAAACTATCAAAAATTCAAGACAGAAATGATAAAGATGTCCAATTAAACAACTAACCCAAAAAGTGGAAAAGAATCACAGATCTTGATTTCACAAAAATTAATCACAGCGCAAATAAACTATACATCCGCGCCTCCAGGCTTCCATCAGTCAGTATCTGCATTGTTGGTCCTTCTGTCTGCACGTGTCAGTAGTGACCACATAATCCTGTTATGTCAACACAGAGATAGGTTGTCCACACAAGGGAATACACCTGTCCACAGCTGTGTCTTCTACAGTCAAATCAAGGAGTTCCTTCCGTCGCCGTCACACTCAAAATGGATACATCCACTGAAACTGCGATCCTATGTAAGCTTCGCAGACACGGTTACATTACTCATCCCAAATGAGCATCTAACTCACTTCTATTTTTGTTTTGACATCCAAAATTTCAAAATCGCAGTTTTGAACACGTCAACAGAATGTTGAAAGATTTAGTCAATAGAAAAACTAACTGTACTTCAACGAGCTGATGAAAACATCAACACAACAATTATCCCATGTTACAAGTTTCCCGTCAAACAGCAACACAAACTCTCAGAGTAGTTTCAAATACTTCTCCTCATGAATATCGTGGGATAATTACGTATTCCTTGAATATATCTCACAGTATCACAGTAGATATTGTCCCGGTATCACCAAACAATGGATAATCAAGCAGCCAGCAGAGAATGAAAGTTTATGGAACTTGTTCTGCTTGTATATCAATCTTTTCAACAAGAGTCTCAGTCCAGGATTCAGCAGCGTGATCAAGTGCACAGATGACGCACTCTGCAGGTGTTGATAAGTGGACTAGCAATAATCAGGTCGGTACATTAGGGGGTAAACGTTACCCCCTATCTCAATAGCTGAGAGGGTTGATCAACATTGGTTCAGATACAAGTACTGTGTGACAGGTTCACTGAAGGAAAAGAGACACACTGTCACATCTAGGCCGTCAACTACATGTGCCCTATGCAAATACCACCCTGGCTAATCAAATTAAGCAAACCAAAATATTGGAGATGTAATTTTTCTAATGTAATTGGATGATAAAAACAGATCTGAATTGAAAAACTGAATTAAAAAATTCACTCACTTCTGACATCAATGACATAAATCATGCAAATATGTTCTCTTAAGTTGGACTAATTGCTCTTTACAGATGTGGTATATAATAATTGTTGTTCTCAATTTAACATGATGAGAAATAAATATGACATAAAGAGATGATTCTTACCATTTCATACGAAAATGAAATCTATTTCATGTTACCCTTTGTAGCACCATATACAAATATGATACTCATATTCAAGCAAGAATTACAATAATAACAAAAATCCATCAAAATCAACCTTATCCAAAGGAGATGGCAGAAAACACAAAAATAAATCCTCAAGACAACGAATCTCACAAATGTAAAATTCTCCCCTCACCAACAAGCCTCAGTAAAGTTATGCCGATCTGTTCATGAAACCAACACAACCCTTATCAAAAGCGGGTGATTACGAATCGGTTACAGATAATTCCATGCTGTGTTGAACAGTAAGCGCCCCATGTACATAGCCTTCAGAACTCTTCAGGCATGGAGATAGAAAAACGCTCTACTACTGAAGTGAAAGCATTGCTGCGGACAGCATGAGAAAACTATTGGAGTGTGTTGGCGGGTGGTTAGGGCATGTGATTCATTCTAAGACCTCTCAACGATGAGACGCTATGTACTTCCTTGAAAAGAATGTTCTTTAGAGAGGCAGTGACTGATATCTCCGAGGTGATGGGTATATATGAGAAAATGGTGGGAGAATGAAAAGCTTTACAAATATTATGAGAAAATGTTGGATTGGATGACTTGGGTCATGTGAATCACAAAAGTAATTTAACAGTTGAACAATGTGTACCACCCCTACATCAAAGTCTATCTATTCTTGAAAGTGAGAATACAAAACATTTTTAGTGTGTGATAATCCTGTGAACATTTGACATTAATGGCTGAGCAGCTCCCTTGATAAAACATGTAATTAAATAGGAATTCATACTTCCTCAAATAATTCTCACGAGAGAAAAATGTGGTTATACTAGTATATATATATATATATATACATACAATGGTACCCTTGTATGAAATGATATAAATTAAATATAGTTGGAATTATTGACACAGTAAATATAACAAATAGCAGATTGTCATAACTGGTTGTGACGAAAGAATAACCATCACAACTGGCTTCTTTTAGAATGATTAGGAAAAACAACACAATACATGAACTGACTGACTGAGTTTGGTTATACGCCGCTTTTAGGAATATTCCAGCAATATCACGGCGGGGGACACCAGAACTGGGCTTCACACATTGTACCCATGTGGGGATTCGAACCCGGGTCTTCAGCATGACGAGCCAACGCTTTAACCATTAAGCTACCCCACCGCCCCTCACAATACATGAACATGAAGAGAGACAGGAATATTTAACACACAGTATCGCATTCATAACATGGCCCTTTATAGATAAGCAAATGTCTATGACTGGTCCTTCCATGAAAGTATACCATAGTTGTATTATGCTACAAAACAATTGTCTGATAACTGGACATATCCTACACATGGTATTAAAGAAGGGTGTGATATCTGGACATATCCAAGCTATGTTATTAAACAAGGGTGTGATAACTGAACATATCCTACACATGGTATTAAAGAAGGGTGTGATAACTGGACATATTCAAGCTATGTTATTAAACAAGGGTGTGATAACTGGACATATCCTACACATGGTATTAAAGAAGGGTGTGATAACTGGACATATCCAAGCTATGTTATTAAACAAGGGTGTGATAACTGAACATATCCTAGACATGTTATTAAACAAGGGTGTGATAACTGGACATATCCAAGCTATGTTATTAAACAAGGGTGTGATAACTGAACATATCCAAGACATGAAGCTCAAAGAAACAAAACATTTAATTAAAAAAAACAGCACAAAATGTTCAACATAACCACTAATGTGTAATGTTCAGTTTCCTAAGTGAAAATAGACATTGAGGTGAAAAAGTCAGAAGAGAAACAGGAGTGTGCGTATCAGTCTGACATTAATGCCTGACCTGTCACCCTAAGTTGCTCCACATGGCCAGCCTGGGAACAGGGAGGTATCACTTTAAGGTTGTACTTGAACACACTGGTTAACTGCACTGGAGATAGAGCCAGGGTGTTAAACATACGATACCACTGACCTACAAACTTCACTCCCCTTGCCCTAATAGCTTACTAAAGAATGGGGAAATGCACAAGGAGGAAAAAGTAAGGGCATTGCCGAGCCCATGTTCATGCTTTGAAACTCAAATATTCTTCAGAAGCCCAGGACCAAATCTTTCACCAGAACACAATCTTCATCTTTTTCAACAAATTCTTTTTCTTTTAATTTAAATGTTTGCAATTGTCCCAGGATTAGTTGCCTGATGTCAGGAAATTCAGAAACATGTGATCCAGGAAATGTATTATTTTAATGTCAACACAGAGAATACAAGTTCCCCCTAGTGGATGTAAGGACCACTGGCTGAATACAAAAGGAGACAGTTGAACAGACTCTCCAAGGATTTACGCTCTTCTATGGTTTAATTCAGACGAATGTAGACAACATCATTCCCCAGCGACTCAACGATAGCGGAAGTTGGCCGCCATGATAGATTTTCCGCAATTTTGGAAAAACTGAAATTTTTGCCGATTTCAGGGTTTTGACGGTGACTGTCTTTAAAAATCTTCTTCTCCAGAACGGCATATAGTACGATCGTGTTCAATACGCCGTTGGAAAGCCCATACTCTGGACTACTTAGTTTGCTCAAGGCATGTCGATATCGTGGGAATGGTTTTGGAGTTGTCGTCCTTGGAAGTTGGTGATTTTCTAAGACGATTTTCATAGGGTTAAGAAAAAGGTCTCAACTCTCGAAAAATCTATGTATTCCATTTTTCTAAGTACCATCCTCTAGGTAATTGGATAGGAAACATTTTTGCTTCACATCATGGTTATGAAAAAAATCAATAATAACGCCACCATTACGACACAAACACAGCCTTCGCGATTTTGCACATTTCCGCACTTTTTTTACGGTGCCTGTGTTTAACAATCTGCTGCTCCTGAACGGCAAATAGTACAATAGTGTTCTATATATCGTTTCAAAGCCCACACTCCGGACTACTTAGGTTGTTGAATGCATGTCGATATCTTGAATAGTGTCGGAGTTATTGCCCTTGGAAGTTGGTCAATTTTTGGCGAAAGGCATTTTTATAGGGTTCACAGCTCTGCGAAGACACACTGGATTTCATGTTTGAAGGTACCAAAATGTAGACAATAAAATGTAGAACAATTTTGCTTCACATTATTATTATGTAAAAGTCAATAGTTACGCATACAATTACGCCACAAACAGTGAGGGACATGAGGATTTCAGCATTTTTCAGTTGGGACATAACTAACTGAAGGAAGCAGCGAGTGTTGCTAGATTTTACTGGCGCTTCCTTCAGTCAGTTAGTTAGTTATCTCATCTCACAGGAAGCGCCAGTAAAATCTAGCACTGCCCACGTCCTGGTTTACCAGTGCCCACAGAAATAGTTCCCTTTTTAACAGTAACTCCGTTGTTCTTAGGTCTACATTCAAAAGAGTTAGTGTTCTGGAATTGGAAGGATATAATCTCTCCAGAGGCATGTCCTTTGCTGTGCTTGGCTGTGCGTTCCTGTTTGTTTTTCTGCAGTTTGTGTCGCCTTCATAACATATTTCTTTATGCTATGACTGAATATCAGCCTGAACCGGTCTGTTAATTTGGTTGCCTGTTTTTTTTTTTACGCTTTCTAGCCCTTCAATACACTTCAAACACCCGTAACTCCGAGAGTTAAAATGGACGCTCCAGCTGGCGTTCAAAGAAACGCTTCAAGTAAAGGCAGCCACGGGGGGTGTATGTGGAAGTCTGAAGACCGCCAGTATTGCCCTGGAGGCAATCCTAGTTAGGTCTTCAGACGAAAGTCTGGAAGACCTACTGTTTTTACCCGAATTATTATTATTATTATTATTATTATTATTATTATTATTCCAACCGTTTTTGTGACAGCTCTACTGACCTAACCGCTTGGTCGATTTTCATGAAACTTTCAGGGATGATAGCCTGTGTGCTGAAATTGATACATAGTCGAAAAAATCCCGACTTCCTGCTTCCGGTAAGGGCAGACAACCCAAAATGTCGAAATCTTTGCATCTGAATAACTCAAAAACTATAAGAGCTAAATTGACCAAATTTTCACTCAATGTAGACAACATCATTCCCCAGCGACTCAACGCATAGCGGAAGTTGGCCGCCATGATAGATTTTCCGCAATTTTGGAAAAACTGAAATTTTTGCCGATTTCAGGGTTTTGACGGTGCCTGTCTTTAAAAATCTTCTCCTCCAGAACGGCATATAGTACGATCGTGTTCAATGCGCCGCTGGAAAGCCCATACTCTGGACTACTTAGTTTGCTCAAGGCATGTCGATATCGTGAATGGTGTTGAGTTGTCGCCCTGGAAGTTGGTGATTTTCTAAGACGATTTTCATAGGGTTAAGAAAAAGGTCTCAACTCTGGGCGAAAAATCTATGTATTCCATTTTCTAAGTACCATCCTCTAGGTAATTGGATAGGAAACATTTTGCTTCACATCATGGTTATGAAAAATCAATAATAACGTCACCATTACGACACAAACACAGCCTTCGCGATTTTGCACATTTCCGCGACTTTTTACGGTGCCTGTGTTTAACAATCTGCTGCTCCTGAACGGCAAATAGTACAATAGTGTTCTATATATCGCTTCAAAGCCCACACTCCGGACTACTTAGGTTGTTGAATGCATGTCGATATCTTGAATAGTGTCGGAGTTATTGCCCTTGGAAGTTGGTCAATTTTTGGCTAAAGGCATTTTTATAGGGTTCACAGCTCATGAAGACACACTGGATTTCATGTTTGAAGGTACCAAATGTAGACAATAAAATGTAGAACAATTTTGCTTCACATTATTATTATGTAAAAGTCAATAGTTACGCCACAATTACGCCACAAACAGTGAGGGACATGAGGATTTCGCATTTTTCCAGTTGGGACATAACTAACTGAAGGAAGCAGCGAGTGTTGCTAGATTTTACTGGCGCTTCCTTCAGTCAGTTAGTTAGTTATCTCATCTCACAGGAAGCCAGTAAAATCTAGCACTGCCCACGCCCTGGTTTACCAGTGCCCACAGAAATAGTTCCCTTTTTAACAGTAACTCCGTTGTTCTTAGGTCTACATTCAAAAGAGTTAGTGTTCTGGAATTGGAAGGATATAATCTCTCCAGAGGCATGTCCTTTGCTGTGCTTGGCTGTGCGTTCCTGTTTGTTTTTCTGCAGTTTGTGTCGCCTTCATAACATATTTCTTTATGCTATGACTGAATATCAGCCTGAACCGGTCTGTTAATTTGGTTGCCTGTTTTTTTTTTACGCTTTCTAGCCCTTCAATACACTTCAAACACCCGTAACTCTGAGTGTTAAAATTGACGGTCCAGCTGGCGTCCAAAGAAACGGTACAAGTGAAGGTACCCACGGGGGGTGTATGGGGGAAGTCTGAAGACCGCCAGTATTGCCCTGGAGGCAATCCTAGTTATTATTATTATTATTCCAACCGTTTTTGTGACAGCTCTACTGACCTAACCGCTTGGTCGATTTGCATGAAACTTTCAGGGATGATAGCCTGTATGCTGAAATTGATACATAGTCGAAAAAATCCCGACTTCCGGCTTCCGGTAAGGGCAGAGAACCCAAAATGTCGAAATCTTTACACCTGAATAACTCAAAAACTATAAGAGATAAATGGATCAAATTTTCACTCAATGTAGACAACATCATTCCTCGTCGATTCAACTCATACCGGAAGTTGGCCGGCAGGTCAAATTTTCCGCTATTTTGAAAAAACTGACATTTTTGCCGATTTGCACGATTTGACGGTGCCTGTCTTTAAAAATCTTCTCCTCCAGAACGGCATATAGTACAATCGTGTTCAATACGCCGTTGGAAAGCCCATACTCTGGACACCTTAATTTGCTCAAGGCATGTCGATATCTTAAATGGTTTTGGAGTTATCGCCCTTGGAAGTTGGTGATTTTTCTAAGACGATTTTCATAGGGTTAAGAAAAAGGTCTCAACTCTGCGAAAAATCTATGTATTCCATTTTTCTAAGTACCATCCTCTAGGTAATTGGATGGGAAACATTTTGCTTCACATCATGGTTATGAAAAATCAATAATAACGTCACCATTACGACACAAACACAGCCTTCGCGATTTTGCACATTTCCGCGCTTTTTGACGGTGCCTGTGTTTAACAATCTGCTGCTCCTGAACGGCAAATAGTACAATAGTGTTCTATATATCGTTTTAAAGCCCACACTCGGACTACTTACGTTGTTCAATGCATGTCGATATCTTGAATAGTGTCGGAGTTATTGCCCTTGGAAGTTGGTCAATTTTTGGCTTAAAACGCATTTTTATAGGGTTCACAGCTCTGCTTAAGACACAATGGATTTCATGTTTGAAGGTACCAAAATGTAGACAATAAAATGTAGAACAATTTTGCTTCACATTATTATTATGTAAAATTAAATAGTTACCATACAATTACATACAAACAGTGAGGGACATGAGGATTTCGCATTTTTTCAGTTGGGACATAACTAACTGAAGGAAGCAGCGAGTGTTGCTAGATTTTACTGCGCTTCCTTCAGTCAGTTAGTTAGTTATTTCATCTCACAGGAAGCGCCAGTAAAATCTAGCACTGCCCACGTCCTGGTTTACCAGTGCCCACAGAAATAGTTCCCTTTTTAACAGTAACTCCGTTGTTCTTAGGTCTACATTCAAAAGAGTTAGTGTTCTGGAATTGGAAGGATATAATCTCTCAAGAGGCATGTCCTTTGCTGTGCTTGGCTGTGCGTTCCTGTTTGTTTTTCTGCAGTTTGTGTCAGCTGCATTGAATCAGCGCCAAATTAGGGCGTCAACATTTCACATTAACTAACATTTACTTTCTAGGTAATTCTATCTCAGAAACACTGTAATGGGCGATCCAGCTGGCGTCCAAAGAAACAGGATAAAGTTTTTATATTTGCTTTTGTTAAAGATTTAACTATCTTGCATTGGGCAATACCTTCTACTGAAAGGCGATCCTGGGAAAATTAATTAAAGATACCTAAACAAGACATGTACAT